ATCCCCGCCGGGCGGTGCTCCGGGAGACGCGGCATGAAGGTGATGCTGTCAGCGGGGCGGGGGGTCGGGCTGGGCCGCGGCGGCTGAGGGGGGGATGCGGGTGTAACGGGCCCGGGAGGTGGTGGCCGCTCGCTCTCTTAAACGAAGTACAACTTCCAGAAGCTTCGAACTTCTTATGTGGGGGGGATGCGGTGTCGCTCCTCGGAAACGTCTCCCGGGAAGGATTTCTCCGTTAAAAGCCGTTTCCTGAGGGGAGGCGGGCAGCGTTGTGTGTGGGGGGGTGCGGAGCCATCGGTCCCCGGGCTCCTTCCCTCCCGCACATCATCCATCGCCCTTCGCTCCCTTCAGCTGCTCTGGGGAAGGAGGGGGAATCCCTGTCCTTCCCGGAGCCTGGGGCAGGTCGTCGCCATTCTCCCGGGTCGGCTGTGGAAAACTGACAAGGAGAGGGGGGAAAGGGGCGACCCCGAGGCGGCCGGCAGCCCGGGTGCCCCGGGAGAGGCTGTGGAAGCGGCCGCCGAGGGGTGGTCTCTTCAGCGCCGGGGCTCAGGACTCAGCCGTGCTGTGGTATGGGTTGGGGGGTTTTATTTTGCTGTCCTATCTGTTTAATTTGCAGGTGTATGACTTCTTAAAGGGTTCCCCTCTCGTTAGTCGGTCCGAAAGATGAGGCACACCAGGCTGTTCGCTTTCTCCTGAAAGTAGTCTAGCAGTAAAAAAAAAAATAAATAAATGTGTTGACCAGGTAGATTGTAAGCTCTTTGAGGCAGGAACTGTATATAGCTATGGTCTGTACTGATCCTGATGGAGAATTTTGGCTCAGTCTTCCTCCAAGCTTCTGAGTCAAGTAAGTATGTGTTAGAAGTTCCCCGGCTCATGGAGGCGTTGGGTTCTGGACACACGTGTTGGTCTCTCAGGTTAAGAATCATCTCTGTGGACGAGGGGGTCTCCGCTGTCACCGTCTGCCCAGCTAACAGAGGGAAGGAAGGGGTCAGTTTCCAAGTGTGTGAAATAAACATATACAAAAAGAAAGTTCCCTTCTGTGCAGTGAAATTTATTTGTTTTGCTTTTATTCAAAGCCTGATGGTAAACAATACTTACTTGCTTTCTCTCTCAATGCTTGTTAGTTCAAATAGTGTGGCATTATAATAATAATAATAAAAAATAAATATATAAGGCAATTCTTGGTAAGCAGTGCTATGGCCTTGGGTGAGTTCTTGGCTTATACTGTGAAACAAAAACCTCAAGAGTGCCGGCTGAACAGTACATCCAGCTTAAGGTCAAAAATGAAAATATTTCCTTCGGTGTCTGTTTTATTGCATGCAGGGTAAACCCATGATTGTTCTTGCTAAACCCGTTACTTCTGCTGAACTCCTCTTTTGCCCCACTAGAGTGGGGAAAGTTTGTGATTATTTTAGGTGGTTTCACTCAAAATACAGCAGGATGTGAGTGGAGTCATGTTCTAATTGTAAGGAAAATGTGTGTGCTTGGGGAGTCTTTCTTAAATTTTTTTTAACCAAACATTTATTGGGTATAAGCACTGTATAGAATTTTTCAGTATAAAAGGGTTCACAGTTTTCTCTCTGAGTGTAATTCTGAGGGCAGTTTCTTTCAATGTGTATTTCTTTCCATATGGACCACCTTTTGCTGTAGCAGTTGTTTGTTTCCTCTGTGCAAGATCATTGCAGCTGCATGATTTAAAGTCTTAGGCTAAGGGGGTGGTAATTAAGTAATATTTTTAAGTTAAAAACATGTTTAGTTAACAAGTGGACTGCATCGAAGTGTTTGTGCACAGTTGTTTTTTTTTCTTATCCCTTAAAAGGGTGAGGAAAGAAGTGGGGGGG